TTAATACTAGATTTTGCTGACAACATTTCCCAAAGGGTAAAAATGGAATAGTAAAATAAGTAGGACGTCTTATACTACAGTGGCGCCATCTGTTGCACCTTACAAGGTTCAGTTTTTGTTTGGTTGTTCTATACATTACACTGTAAATAAAAACGACGAAAATCAGAATTAATTTCTCTCGAAAAATCACGCCAAATACAGCTCCGATTTAAAACAAAAGAATGTAGACCAAACAAACATTCATAATTAAAATATGAGTATAGAAGTTCCTTTCATTTAGAAATTAATTAAAACCAGACGCGGAACTCTACGGCCTGTATTTAAATGTACTAAATTATTACAAACCTAGGTTCCTCAAGTTATAATTATGTAATTAACGCTGTGTAATTAAGCAAGCTGAATAGGTAGCATTAACTACCTGACTTCCACTTTACCTTGCACTCTGTGTTATTACTGACGCCCTTAGAATACTACTTTCTTTCTCTCACTTTTCAACTACTTTCTTAGTGAAGAAGTAGGTCTATTTTCGGGTGTCCAGGCCTATCGTAATTGTCATCATCATCATCAACAGCCTATAAATGCCCACTGCTGAGCAAAGTCTCTTCTCACACGGAGAAGGTTTGAGCATTAATCATCACGCTTGCTCAATGCGGGATGGCGATTACAGCCTCATAATTAGAAATCATAAGCCCAGGTTTCCTCACGATGTTTTCGTTCGCCGTTTGTCAGTGGTGTCTAGATCATCTTGGGAAATACATATAACTCCAAAAAAGGCACATTGGTACTTGCCGTTGGTAGGTTTCAAAACCGCACCATCATGCATGAGAAGCGGGCCTCTTAAACCTCCGGACCACCACGACACGTAAATCACGAATTGTAAATAGTACTATCAAATAAATCATATAAGGAAAACTCTGTGCTCATTTTTACATATATCACGGATGGAAAAACTAACTGTGAAACTACAGGACATCATTTTTTGTCTGGTGTGGTATCGCCAACCCAAAAGAAATAAAACTACGTGTTGCTCAGCGGAACTTTGAAGGGCAACCTTTGGGTCCTTGCACGACCCTTTTTTTTAAAGGGGGGAAAATCATCGAATGGCTGCTCCCGCCTGCGTGAGGCGGGAGGGAGTGTCAGACTCTTACTGACTAAAAACACCCCGTTCCTTCTTCTGCACGTCGAGCCGGAGCCCCGGTTACCCGTTAGGTTCTCCGCGACTCCGAATCGGCATTGGCCCTATTGGGCCCCATCTGTGGTGGTCTGATGGCTCTTTGAGGCGCGCGCGGAACGCAACGCGCCGCACGCTCGACCCTTGTCGAAGTCAAGATTGAAATTGGAGGTACTGAAAACGTAATTTTAGTAAATGCTTTTGACTAAAACATAGGTAAACAAACCAGAAATACTATAACAAAACAGACAAAGGCCTTAAAAATCAACATTTATTCTTTGACAAAAATAAGTCCTAGACCTCGTTGTCCCACTTATCAAACAAATCTCGACCCTTGTTAAGTCTGGAACGTTCTATTTATTCTAAGACCCCAACGTGAAGAAAACAAAAGGATTTGATCCCATTTCTAAGAATGTGTTTTGTATGAAAACTAGAAAATATGGGATTTTCTGAATATTGTGAAAGGAAAACAAAAGGCTGGTTTATATACGGTGTATTACGGAGTATTTAAATGGGAACATTCTGAGGTTTTGTTATCAAAATTTAAGGTAATTTAATCATTCTTTTTTTAACTACCTTCCTAGAATTACCACTGCGAATGGTCGGGTATTGCGTTTACAAGCTCATTTAGCAATTTTTGGTAATTTATGTTTCATACATAAACATTCGATTCAACCAACTTAAATAGGTGAAACAATTTAATTCTATCTTTTTTAATCGATTTGTCTTAAAGTAATATTTTATCATATGCTTACGGAATTCCCTAGAAACCAATGAAATAGGATTATAAAACGAAGTATAAAAAATAAAAAAGCAAAACTTGTAAAGCGGCTAGGCCAAAACAATAAAGGCAAATTGGAATCAATTTAACGCTCAACTTCTATGCGATCGAATTACTCAATTTTGCTCATGTTGTGCTCGACGCTGATAACATCACTCGACACGATAAATACAGCTAACGTTACTGATACTCAGTGTACGATTACACGTAGTTAGTAATTACCGTAACGGATCGTTTAATTTCTAACCTTCAAAATAGACAATGTTTGTTTCAAAATCTACTTTAATATCTCTATGTATAGAGGTAGAATAAGATAGATATCAAACTTAAATACAACTTAAAATATAAATACCTAAAAACTAAAATATTTATACCTTAAATAATAATAAAACAGTTCAGTTCTCCTAGAAACGGCACGTATCGTGTAATTTATAGAGAATTTTAAATAAATATATGGAATAATAATAACAGTTATAATAATGCTTTAATATCTCTTTCATTAACATAGATAACAGAATGAACACAATCGTTTATTATTAGGTTGATTACTTGGTGAAAAACTACTGTTCCTAGTTTGCGAAATTTCAAGTCACACTGGGGGTTGATATTGTACAGGGTTTATTTAGTTCGCTATTAACTAATATGATTAAAATATGTAAATCTTTAATTTGGTTCCGTAAAAAAATATACGTAGAAATTCATCTAACTCTACCTACATTGTACAAAGTACACAAGTAAACAGACGATGTGATCTGAAAACGAACAAAAGCAAAGTTTACTAAAACAACTAACAAAATCATTAGCTCCGTTACACTCACAGTTAAATAAAACTAGTAAAACCTCGCGGAACGGTTTGTTTGCAATCCTCGACAATGGCTAGATAGAACTGTTCGTTTACCAACCTACGTTTGAACGGTTAGACTAACTTTTCAACGGTCATTTACATTGATTGGTTTGTTGATTTCTGAACCATTTGAATCAATTGTTGCTAGATGCATTTTAGGATATAGGTGAATTATAAACCTTATTTTATGTATTCAAATATAGAATTGATTTTATCCTGTTTAGATTAAGGCTTTTGTTTTTTTTTCTTTAACTTGACTATAGTAGTAACATTCAACAAATTCTTTGAGTTATTAGTTAGTTTTATCAACAAAACATTCACAAAAACACAACTGGTAGACAAATAATAAAACAATATAAAACTACACCATGTAGAAAGCGTTTAAATAATATTTTATCAGACTTATGATCACAATATGATAAATTGTGTGAAATATTTCCAATCTTTACGAGAAAAAGATTAAAATTCTTGAAGCGCAAAGATTTCCCTCAGAATGGGTGATTACTTTCACAGACTAACAATTTCGTACCACTAAATGATATATGGAAGCACAGTGAGATAATTTGCATATGAATGTTGTGTTTTGCATATCTATCCTGCTTTAAATTCAAATTGACTTTTCATAGCATTTCTGCAAAGAAAAATTACTTCCACGAAGTAAGGAACTGTTAAATGAATACATAATATTAAATACTTTACTTTTGAAAAGAAAGAATAATTAAGTTTCATTTTTAAACGATGAATTGAATTTAACTTTAAAGGCTTCAACGTCTTTAACGTTCACGCTCGAAATGAAACCTTACAAATCTTCGATTCAAATAAAATTAACAAGAAACCAAGAAAATGTTATTAACGACGTAATTTATTTTTTATATTTTTCACTCGAAACGAAAATGCTCTGATAGGTACATACATTCAACGCTTCATTATTTTTAAAACCAAGCATTTGAAGATTATTTCTATTGATTTGTTTCTTCATTGAAATCACGTCCGTGACGATTGTCTCCAAAGCTAACAATTCTAGGGATTTTTAAAACTGGGTGTGAGCGGATGTGCCGTCGCGCCGCCAGTGATAATGTCTAACGCAGGGATAGGAGAGTGGCAGAGCAGCCGCGCGCGCAGCAGACGACGCTCCACATGCGACGCCTGCGCACTCCCTGCTGGGCGAGGTGCTCAGTAGAGAAACCAAACGAAGCAAAGTTAATACCGTTACAACATCGCCGACAATGGCCAAGTAGTCGCGCCTCCCTTCTGTCCAATCTGTGCGATTAGGTCTTTCTGTTCTGTTTAAGCTTCAGTTTTCAATACTCTCTCAGTTACCTGTCCTCCTGTTAGTTTAGTGTTTCCAATATCATTTGCTGTTTTTATCAGTTTGGATTCATATCCAGGCTGGTAGTTTCTATTTTTAGGTTTATAGGTTACCTGTTTCTTTGTAAATTATTTGGTTGAACAAGCTACGTGATACTTGCCTTCCTTTGATGTTCTAGCTTCAGTCGTAAAGTAAAAGTAAATCGTAGCCTGTTCTAAGTAGAACTGCATTTATCTGCGTCTAGATTATGTTTAGATTAGTTCTGGAACTTAGTCCTGTGTGCCGTTTGGACCCTGTGTGACTCGTCTTTGTGATCGTCCCAGTCTTCAGCTCCGTCTGTGTTTGTCCTATCCCTAGGCATGTTCACTTCTCATTCTTGTGTCTGGGTGACCCCTGTGTATCGACATTCCATTAAGCTTACACTTTGTACTCTGGATTTTTATTTATTTTTCTTTAAACGTGTGGTTTCGAACCTACATTCAGAATGAAACCCTTCTTCTAGTACACCTATGTTATTTTATTTTTATTTATAGCTGCTACCACTGCTTTAACATATCTATAACATTTATGATTCTTTATTCTAGGTATTTTTTCGAATAGCTTATTTCTTGACTTTCTAATATTGTATTTTATTATTTTAAATGTGTGTTTTGTAAACTTTGCAGGTGTCTTTGTTTTTCGAATATCATATAATCCGATTGTGTTCATCATTTTTACACTGTAAATTAAAACAAATATTTTCTTGCAACTTTTCTTTACTAGAGAATTTCAATGTTTATTTTTGTAGTATAAAAGTGATGAGCATTCGGTTCTCCCACAAGCAAAAGTCGTTCGCGATAATCCTCTCCTTGTGTGATCCCTGACTCTGTCCCAATGACGGCGTGTTTTATTTTAGACCGGCAGTGGCGCGCCAGCAGTCGGCCCCAACCCTGGTGTTTAGGTGTGTCGATGTTATCACTTTTTATGCCACTCACTAAGCTTGAATCAAACCAGAACTTTCCACCAATATTTCAACATCTCCATTATGAAATTTGAACACTCATTGCCTTTATTCTGGTTTCATTCAAGTAGTAATGACAATACGACCCCGAATTAACCTTGAGCATCCCCTGAGATCTGCTTGTTTTGTCGTGTGGCTGTTTGTGTACTGTATTGCTTTCCATTGTTCCAAAGCTTGTGAGTGAACATAACCAGGAGTCAGCTAAAAGGCGCTTTGAATATACGAATAATAATAAATTCATAAATGGAATCGTGAATATTGTCTTCAAACGGATAAAAAGTTATTTTACGATTTGAGTTACAAAAGTCGATGCTACTAACGTTTGAATGTCCCTTGTGTGACCATTTCTGTACTGATTGACCGCTCTGAGGCACTTATGTTTTATTAAGATAAAATGTTATCAATAAAGAGTAACTTTTAACATTTAAATACGACTTCCTATTACGACAACAAATATCGATTAATGTGAATTTTCTTTATAAAACTCAATGGAAAGCAATGTAACAGCATAACCGAATTCTTGAGCACGCTGCATGCATAGGTGTCCAATACCCCTAGTTAGTGTACCCAAATTAGCATGCTCTGAATTCTGCCAACTGTCTACTTCATCACACTTGGTTTTAGTGGCAAGTTACGTTTGTACACCTCGGTATCCACAAGCAATACCTACTTGCAAAAATACTGTTCTCAATTTCAGGATCTAGTATTTTTATTTTCAACTTTTTTGTCTTCAACAAAAGATTCTCACGAGAGTTTTGGATAAAAAGTCTGACATATTGTTCAACAAAGCCCCACGCAAAGGACAGCCTTGTGTTGTACACGTTTTGTGTTCACTAAAATGACTTGGGACCTTGTGTGGGATTTTGTATACACCGCATTTATCATGCAAATTTTGTACTGTTCAAAGATTTTACAAAACTTATCACCTTTTTTTACTTTGATTTACATAAGTAGTTAAAATGAACAATTTAAGGAAATTCCACACTCATTCTAATAAGATAGTGACATAATATTTACGATTAGTTGTAGCTGTTAGTGGGTTAATTAAGATTATGTATAATTATTATACATAGAATAACAATGTACAGCATTATAGCTAATGTTAATTAGAATTACAGAAGTTCGATTAGATATAGTAAATCCTTATATAAAAAATGTATGTTTATTGAAATGTACAATAGGATGAGAAGGTAATAATTTTATTTAAATATCCAATCTTTTAGATGATAATATACATAGATAAAATGTTGATTAGTTATTATTTTCGGAATGAACTTTAACAATACCGTCTGAAGGAGATCCAGCCGACAGCGATATGGCACGTATTGATTGATTGCAGCGTTGTCTTTAAGCGGTGCCTGAACTGCTTCGCAGCTTTCAATGGTGAATCGAGCTGATGAAGAGATCAATGACAAAGTATACCGGTTACTGTGCTAACATGATATTATGTTCGACGTGAAGCTTAAGCTGATTTTATTCACCAAAAATTTCAATGTACTAATTTAACGTTGTGCTGTGTACAGGAGGCTGGCTGACGAAGATGACGAGCTGTCAGAAGTCCAACCTGATGCTGTACCACCTGAGGTCCGGGAGTGGCTGGCGTCCACCTTCACGCGACAACTGGCAACAGCGAAGCGAAAGTCTGATGAGAAGCCCAAGTTCCGGTCGGTGGCTCACGCCATCAGGGCAGGGATCTTCGTGGATAGGATCTATAGAAGAGTCACCAGCACTGCGCTGATGCAGTTTCCCCAAGACGTCATTAGAGTACTAAAGGTAAGTCAAACATCAAACAATATATATTCTGATAGCCCAATTTATTGAGAATACGAATGCGTAGTTGAGTTGTTCTTTTGAAAAATGGCACGATTTATTATTTGTATTAAATATTTTGAATAATCCTTTTAATTTATTAAAAGAGACGAGAGCAGAAATAGATTTCAACACAATTTCGGTTTAGAACTAAACGATAACATTCTAAGTAAATACAGAAAGCATAGCAAATTCACAGAAACCGATATTCCTTTGAACAGAAATTTCAAATAAAATTCCTCTACAAATATTAGAAGAACACGTATTTCAGTAACAGTATATTGAATATCTCCAAACTAAATTAATAGACGCGCTTTGAATTTGTCGGTGAAGTTTTACTTTGAAATTGAAGCGAACAATTAGAATGTAAGGTTACCACGTGAGTGTTTCTGAACAATCCAATTAGTTCTCGTAACTTTGTTTTAAGATTAGATTAAACCAATAGCAATAGGTTGAACGCTAATAGATACTAATTTGATTTACCAATATGGTACTTTAGATTGAACTTTTAAGAAATTGGTGGTGGTGGTAAATATTTAAAGTACTCAGTAGTATGATTAATGTTCATGTAGCCTATAGTTTAAACCCAAATCGATTAAAGTCGCTTTAAGATTTTGTTATATTATATTTTTCTATACCTATCTAAATTTTGAAGTCTATCGAAAGCATTCGAAGATCTCTGGTTCAGACCGAAAACAAGGTCTAATATTTTAACTGATATTAATTCTGTAAGTTAAGCCTATTAGAATTACGGCGCGTCGTCGTGGTCCGCGCGCGCAACGGATGGGGCCCAATAGAGCTGATGCCGATACGGAGACCTTAACGGGTTACAGGGGCTCCGGCTCGAAGTGCAGGAGTAGGAACGGGGTGGTTTTTAGTCAGTAAGAGTCTGACACTCCCTCCCGCCTCACCCAGGCGGGAGAAGTCATTCGACGATTATCCCCCTTAAAAAAGCCTATTAGAATAGGACGCTAGAGGTAAGTAGACAGATAATTAAATCTGTCCTCCGTTCAGCTAAAACTATAGAACTATAAACTACAGCTTCAACAGCTTTATTTACCAAAATACTCCACTTGGTGTAATAATGGAACTCTGCTTTCAAATATTCTGACTGACATGTGCAGAGAAGGTCTTTTAGCCGCGTGACCCAATTCCTATTTGAACTCGGCGACAGGACTTTGCAACTTTTCCGAAGAGAACTTTATGTTTTCACCTCATTAAATATTCAACAGTTTTAAACAATAAGCGTATCACAATAAGGGTTAAACTGGATTGATTAACGAATGTTCGATAATTTTGAGGCCGTTGTGAATAACTAAAACTAGACCATTATCTGATTTGAATAGCATTCATCAATTCTGAATAACAGAAATCTATCTTATTTTAACAGCAATAGAAACACCTGTTGAATATTTAATATTTTATACAAACGGTAAATATTCCAAAATATTTTTGTAGAAAATTACTTCTTAAAAACAGATTATCATTTCATTGACGACCATTTCCAGTCTTGTCAAAGAAGACATGAATCTTCTCAGTGTTCAAATATAATTATGATCAGTACCCAATGGATAGCCTAGGATATAACCCAGTAACCCAGTAACCTTTAGTAATTGAGTCAGCGCAACCTCGACGGAATTCTATGAATTTGTATTTTATGTCATTTTATCGGAAACAGCAAAGTAACTGAATTAACAACATTGTAGAAATCTATTGTATAGTATAGTAGTATATTTTGTGGTAGTGCATACATTTCGAACTTACTAAATATTACTATTTGTATAGCTGGTATATCAAAATTATCTAGGGTATCGTAATAAGTGAAACTGCATTAATTATTAAAATTAATGCAATTTCACTGCACACACATAAAAATAAAAAAATGCTTTACATTTCGTGCACTAATTTTACTCTAATTTTAACATATAACATTACACCACACCCTTTATCCCCGAAGAGGTAGGCAGAGGTGTACATTACGGCACTTAATTCCACTACAATGTAACACCCACTTTTCATTATTTATGTTATGAGTTCCATGTAATAGGGGGTGAGCCTATTACAATTCCAGACTCCGTGTTACTTCTGAGGTTTTTAAAAGCCCAGTAATATTTTGCCCGATCCGGGAATTGAACCCGAGACCGAGACCCCTTGCCCGGTAGTCGCACTGGTGACGGTTGGCTAATGCACAGCCTCTAATTTTAAATAATACCATATTATGATATGTGTCGCGGTGGCCCGGAGGTTTAAGACCCCCACTTCTCTTGCATGAAGTTGCTGGTTCGAAACGAGGCAAGTACCAATGTAACTTTTTCCGAGTTATTTACGTACTTTCTAAGAATAATCAGACACCACTGACAAACGGTGAAGGAAAACATTGCGAGGAAACCTGGGCTTATAATATCTAATTATAAGTTTTACCCGCATTGAGGAAGCGTTGTGATTAATGATCAAACCTTCTCCGTGTGAGAAGAGGCTTTGCTCAGCAGTGGGCATTTATAGGCTGTTGATGATGATGATGATGATGATGATTATTATGATATGTTTGCCATGTTGCATTTATAATCTTGATTAAAAATTCTTAATATTTTGCCTTAGCTTTTACTTCAACGTTCACCTGTGGGTTTTAAAAATCCATTGGGTACTTTTATTTATTACTTTGTGACCTTTCAAAGAAATTTTCTTCCAAACACAAATTGGTCCTGACCTTATTATTGATTTATAAATAGCTCAGCAGTGTCCAAAAATACAAATGGAATTTGTAATTCTCTCTATTTATGGTTCAAATGCTTGATTCCAAGTTATTCCCAAATCTATTGTGACACTTGGCGGCAAAACTGAAATAGATGAAAATTCATTTAATGGAAATACTAAAATGCTGCTGTCTAATAACTAAATTATTACTTTGAATAATGTAAAACAATTTAGGATATTGTTTTAGTTTCCAGATGTGGATAGTCTGAATAACAAGATTTTTTTTTCGGATAATGGAAATGACAAATTACGAATAATATGAAGCGTTCAAAAACTGCCTCGTTGGCCGAATGTTCGCAAGTGTGACTGCCGAGGAAGGGGTCTTGGGTTCGATTACCGAGTCGGGCAAAGTATTACTGGGGTTTTTAAAAAAACCAAGTAGTATCAGGGAGTTTGGAATTATGCATGGTAAATCGCAATAGGCTCACCCCCTATTACTTCGGACTTACAACATAAATAGTGAAAAGTGGGTGTTACTTTGTACAGTGGCATTAAGTGCCTTAATGTGCACATCTGCCTACGTGATGTTATGTTATGTTTAAATTAAAAAGTAAATTAGCAAAAATGTCATGTTTTCTTGGCAGTGACGTATAATTTTTATAACATTTAACGCATTTTTTTCGACTTACTTCATTCATCCGAAAACCCCCTCTTACGGGTATATAATATCGATAACAAGTCTCTTTCCACACGTACCTTTAACATACAGGAAATGACGGCACAATTTCTTCTAAAGAATAATATGGACACAATAAAATACGTTTCCTTAGTAAAAGAATTTCGTAAAGAGGGTAACACCTTTAACCAATTATAATGCGATAATGGTGTATTTTATAGATGGTTAGACACACACAGAGTGTACAAATTTAGCACATAGGAGGTTCTAAACCATTCTTATCCAATAACAAAGTCGTTAATGAAAATATTTTAATTGCTATTCAATTTATTTCAATAACTGTTATTCGAATGCCACGTGTAGTAATATTTTATTGTATGGCTGTACCTTTCCTAAATAATAAGAATAGTCATAACATATTGACAATAGGCTAGTTTCCTAAATTTAATATTAATGTTTGTCTGGTAGATTATTTTAAAACATTAGACACGTATTTTTTCTTTTCTCACACAATTAAATGCTTTCGACGATATATTGATTTGAAATGTCGTGTGACGTCACAACGTGCAACAAAATGTAGCACGTTGTGACATAACGACCTCCCACTCCTAAACTTAACTCCATTTTATTTAAGTATTGTAACTTTATACGAGAAAATTAAGAAATACGTGTCTAATATTTTTTCATTATCTAACTGACGGACTAATTAGATTTTAAATTTTTTCTTGCCCTGGAAACTACCCAATTAAACATGTTTGGAGTCCAGAATCCGTACCATTTATCCATGATAGTTGTAAGAATACCTACAACAGGATACTACAGAAAAACATTCGACGTAGGAAAATATAAAATATTGTAGATATACGCATATAAACTAATAAAACACTCTACCATAACATACCAAACCCGAATAAACAATTTAACAAAATAAATAGATTAAAGCAAAGTTTCCGAACAATCAACTTAAGGGACTGCAAATTACATTCGGATATCAAATATTCACTATGAAGTAACAAGGGTTGGACTAATTAACTTGAAGTAAGAACCAGATTAATTAGTACCTACACCAGTACATTTATCTTGGTTCAGTGAATTAGAAGAATTTCTGAAGTGGATAGTGTTGTGGAAATGTATCGAGATGTTGACACCAGAGAAGACTTCTGTAGAACAAAATGCTTTTTAAGCGACTTCCCAAAAAGGATGAGGTTCTCAATTCGGCCGATATTCTTTTTAAGTTGTGTGAAATTTAAAGGTGTAATAATTGTGTTATTGACAAAGTTAAACCGATTTTCTCGGTAGTGAGAAGTCTATTGCTAAATTGAGCACTAGTCTATAATTTCTGAGTAAGCTTTGTACCGTTACTGAGAATATACAATCAAGTCCCGTTAATACTGAATTGTAGAGTGACATTTCTATACCTGGCCTGATAACTTCTGATGTCACATTTCCAACTTACAACGTAAATAGAAATATCTGAATTTAATAAATCCGTAGTTTTTATTTTAGATTACATACATATTTACCGTCTAAAGAATCACAGAAAGAAAAATTCACCGTACTATATTTTTTTCGTCTTTAGCCTCACCTCAAAACTCTGCGCGGTCAAAAGTCGGCTTCCTTAATCTACCACTCTATGTGGTTTATGAAAGAAACACATACAAACAAAAATAACACATCAGGATTCCAACAAGCTTTCATATTCCAAAACCTATGAAAGAAGCTTGAGTATTTCTACAATTTCACAATACATTTACAAGCTCGACGCTGTTTGTCTTTTTCTAAATGCTAACGTTATTTTCCTCTTTTTGCCTCCCCTTTTTAACTGAAAAGAATTTTCTGATGAAGAGCTAGAAATAAATGTTCCCGCACATAGGCTCTTTATACATATTGTTTTCCGCATAGTTTATTTGAATGAGTAGAATCGTTTGAAACTGCAATTGCTCTCTTTTTCTTTTTCATAACCGATTTGGATCAAAGAATCCTCGATCTGCATTGACAACAATTAATTATTTATCGAATTGTACGCGTTTTAAACGTTATCGTTATTTTGTTTCAGACATTAGATGAATGGTCATTCGACGTATTTGCCCTGCACGAGGCGTCGGGCGGGGCACCCGTCAAGTACCTTGGCTATGAACTACTCAACAGATATGGAATGATACATAAGTTTAAGGTGAGTCTGATGATGTATATAGGTATATCCTAAGCAGTATTGATTAACACATGGGTAAAATGTACTACGAAAGTTTTGTAAAAATCTAACAAATTTGTGAAAAGACTTTTCTAAAATCAATTCCCAAATCTACTCCTTGGAAACGTCGATAAGTTAAATTAACCTCCGTTTTGCAAGGCATTAATCCAATTTGCCGGTTTGTTACTCTCTGGGAAGTTTACGTTCTTTTCTTTTCTTTCTTTCATTTATCTTTTGATTAATTTAAAGAAAGAATCCTAAAAGATTTTACTAAATGAATTCTTTCTATGTAGACCCACCTTTTTTACCAAGTTCCAAATGGGTCCATTAGTGATACATTTCATTTATTCAGCAAAAAAAGTAAAAGAGAAAGTGCTACGTATAATTTTACTGTATAATTATATTCATTAACAATTAGTCACAAATATGTTATTGATTGGGATCAGCCACAAGCATATAATTGGCCTGCACTGTTCACGGATCTATAGACTGTGAAATCAGTTAGAAATTCAAGCTAATTAACGGGTATTAATGTTATGCTACATTTGCTGTAGGTAAGTGCTTATAAATGAAAGATAACATTATTTTTAACCATTGTAATTGGATAAATATCTTAAAATCTCTGAACACCGAATAACAGTTTCTTCTTTAAAATGCTACCGCGAAGATTTCAGCTATATTTTCTAATGGCAATGTCTAGACCGATCGAAATTTGATGTCGTAAAAATCACAGAGCGAATCGCAGAGAATGTTCAATTTTCACAACACGTCTGTTAAAAACATGATTGGCCAATAAAATCTTTTTGATAAAAATAACGTATTCCCAAGTTTCATTTCTCGACATTATTTTAATATTAAACTTGTGTTTTCGGAAAAATTTCATCATTCAGTGAAAGTCTTGATGGAAGTTTTAATAGACTCTCAAAGTTAACCTAAAAAGTTTCCCAGTACGCGTTGGCGGTCATTTTTTGACGAACGCTCGCTATACAGATTCCTTTGTGGGACGTACTTTTTTAACATAATACTTTTTGATATTCTGTTGGCGGAATCGTAGTATAATGAAGCTAGAATCTATATTTAACTGTGATGTCTATTTTCTGTTTTCCTTCAAGAAGAAATATAAATCAATAGTCGAAATCTGTAATTGGTCTTAAATCGTTTAATTAGGAAAGATTTCAGCGGCAGACGTCCTCAGTTGGTGATGACAACAATAATTTGGCACAGAAATATTTTTTTGAATTTTAATGTCCATTTCTCTTTCTGATTTGAAATGTAAAAGCCCCGAACAAATGTTACAATCGTAACATAAAGTAAAGAAGTACGGAGTTCTTATAAAATGGGGTATTTTCACGACTAAAGTATCTCTTAACAGACTGTTTTAATGTAGAAAAATGTGGGAAGACAAAATTAACTCTACAAATGGCTTACAAACAGTTATTGCTACCCAAAGAATCCCTGAAGCTTCTTAATATAAGAAGTAACATTATTTTCAATTGCTATTGTTCCTTTTGGACGGTAATTTTACTTTTGGATAGCATTTACAACAAACGACGAGGTAACTGCCTTGAAAATTGTTTAGCCTTATGGCAAGAAACAATCGTTATGTTTTAATAAATGTTGGGTTTCCTCAGGGAGGTATATTAGGACCAATGCTATTTATAGTTACGAAAATGAGTATTAGTTAACTAGGGTCGGTTTTGAATATAGCTTTTGTGGGCAATCTGTGTTTATTTTTTTTTAACTTCGTTGCCCCACACTATCGTTTTCTCCTGTGTCGTGGGTGCGTTTACAAACATACAAGTTCACATACACAATGATACCCATACCCGAAACAACAATTTGTGGATCACACAAAGTGTTGTTTCGTGCGGGAATCTAACTCGCGACACGTTGCACGGCAGCCGGTTGTCCAGCCACCGTACCAACCGTGCAGTCAAAATTTTTAAATGAATAATGTCCTTCTTGGTAAGTAACTCGTCTCGTTGTAACGACAGACATGACAGTAATATTATCTCATTGTTATGAATAAAGTGTAGAAAGTATTAAAATAGAAACTTTAGTCATTTTGTCTATTTTTTACTATTAGTGTCAATGTTTACATTCGGTTGTTAGACTACCTTAGTGAATTCAAGAAAAAGTTAGGCAGCACTTTATTTCCAGCGTTCAGAGCAGTTGTGCATGATTGAATCGAAATGGGATTTCCGAGTTCTCGAAGTTCAGAGGATAGCATTGCATACTGTGAACTACTTACAACTGGCTTTTTCATTTGAATAAGTACACATTTTACTAAAGAAGTGGCATATTTTACAATTTAATTATGATTTCATTTATAATTATGTATTACTTTTCAGAATGTAGTGTAGTGTATTTATATATAATATACAGCAGTTATGCATATTATAAGTATTCATTTCGATCACATAAATATGTACATAACTAAAAAAGTTGTAATCGCCACAAATTCGGCAAAGGTAAAACAGATCAGACAAGTATCCTTAATCCTTATCCAAAAAGATCGTTCTTATAAATGGTTATGTCAGAATAGTAATAATAATCAATCACTTGCTCATTAAATAATTTTCTCTTCTTCACCAGGTCCCACCGACGACGTTGGAGAACTTCCTCAACAGGATAGAGGAAGGTTACTGCAAGTTCCACAACCCTTACCACAATAACCTCCATGCAGCTGATGTGGCTCAAACAGTTCACTACATGCTGTGTCAGACTGGACTGATGGTAAGCCATATTTGATCAATTTTAATGTGTATTTTAATCAAGAATAAATTACAAAGTGTCAGTCGTATAGTTCATTCAAATTTTCCTAAATAAGTTCTAATGAGCACGATCACCTTACTTTAGCCAAACCAAAACCTGAAGTGAAAGTGAAAATGCTGCCAGAGTCAAAAGTCAAAATCATTTATTTCAAATAGACCAGAAAGGCACTTTTGAACGTCAACTGAATACTAGCTGAATACTAGAGTTTTGAACAAACTAAAAAAGTAAACAAAATTAACGAGTTTAATTATGATTAAACAATGCAGTTAGCTGCAGAAGGAAATCTATCACATTCACTATCTTATTATAAGGCAGCAAACGAGTAGACGGATCACTTGATGGTCCGCAATCAACGCCCCCAATGGACATTTACAACACCACACTAATTAGCAGTGCATTGGTGGCTTCTTAGAGATTCGGAATTGGGGATCTGCTGACAATTGTGAAAAATGTATTTTCTTTTAACAGAACTGGCTATCGGACTTGGAAATCTTCGCGACGCTTGTGGCGGCAGTGGTGCATGACTACGAGCACACAGGCACCACGAATAACTTCCACGTGATGTCAGGGTCTGACACCGCATTACTGTACAACGATCGAGCTGTTCTCGAGAACCACCATATTAGTGCTGCATTCAGGTAAGATTTTATTTAGTCTTAAAGTAGATATAGTAAAATGGCATTTTAGCTATAATCAGAAACTTTAATGTTAAGTTTTTGTACTAAGTTATAATTTCAACGTAAAGTTAGCCTTCTTTTTAGGATGAACGTAAAACATGCACTTTATATTAATACTGCGTACTGAAACTACGTCCGAATCAAATATTTCCGGTAATGACAAAACAGCAGTTCTGGTTAAAGCTCTCATAGAATTGAATTTCTTGTTCATATCATAGCTTCTAGTCATAACGTCATAAGACAGTAATAACGATGTTTTTCCTCACTAAAATGTACCTATCTATATAAGTTCCAAGTAAAGCCAAGCATTGTATATTAAAATAGAAATCTCAAATCCCTTTATGTTCTGTTATTGTGCTATAGATTCCGCAAACGATTTACATTTTAATAAAACACTAGAGCGTCTGTCGATCCGATGTCTCTCTAGACGTCTATATCGGAAATATTGCTTTCTATAAAGACCCTGCATTTTATTAACATTAACATATTCACAGTGATCGCAATATCTGAACTTTTCGTCTTTTGTATAATAATATTCTTTGCCAGGGTCCAGAATGACAAAGTACGTGATTTTATCCTTATTCCTTTCAAAAATTGTTGCTTTGCCCCTTTTTTGTAAATGCGTTGAAAATCATATTTGTTTTCTGTTTCGTGCCGTTTCCATGCTTCTGATAATGCAAGGATTCGTCGAAAAATTCCAAGAAATTCTCGTAATTTTGTCTCTTATAATAGTCGTACTTATACTCGTTACTAAAATTGATTACGGGTATTACATACGTATCAAGAGTGGGCGTAATGCCATTATTATTATATTATATTCAATATACAAGATACTTTATCCATACAAATAAAACCCCTAATGATCACAATCGAACAATCAGATAACAAGCCATTCATTGATTTGTAATGACTCCGATTTTCTGAACGATACAAAAATAAATTCCTAGTAAAAAAAGAATGAAAGGCAAAGGTAATGATGGAAGTCCTGATTCAGCTAACAAAAGAGTCTCGAGTTTTGGTAGGGAACTCGTTAAAATACAAATATACGATATAATTTCCCTAGAGGGATGAACGTAGCGATTTTTCATCCGTAGTGCGCCCAAAAAGAGTGTTCGATATGCGATGATTCCTATGTATGCGAAAGTGCGAAGTGTATGTGAGTTAATGGACCGCTTTTCTTTCCCTAAGCTTTTGGAGTTAGTGTGAACAAAGACAGATGACATTAGTTGTTGAAATACAAATTCTATTGTTACACATCAGATAGGGTTACCGGGGCTCCGGCTCGAAGTCCAGGAGAAGCAACGGGGTGGTTTTTAGTCAGTTAGAGCCTGACACTCCCTCCCGCCTCACACAGGCGGGAGCAATCATTCGATGATTTTCCCCCTTAAAAAAAAACATCAGAAGATAGAATTTCAGACATTATGCTATTACTAAAAGTAACATAATATTTATATTTTCATTTAGTAATGGTAATTTACTAAGCAGACTGCTGTATTAAATTAAAAATTAAAGTATTTCACACTCAACTGCTTAGTTAAAAGCAAAACAAAAAGGAAATACTAACTAGATATGCGTGCTTGTTCTATCGCTAAAAATGTTACCATGGGGTAAAATAGCTGTAAAAAATATTCGTTTGATCCCCCACAAAGACGTATCTTATTAAACACTGTGTGAAACTTTAGTTCCCTTTTATGTAGACTGTCATATAAACGTATCACCTATTTTTTGGGCTTATCAAGTACTAAAACAGCAGTAGCCAGAGTTATATAAATGCTTAACAGGATTTCTTAACTGATATTAAAATTTTACATGTATTTTGGGAAAGTAAAGAAATCTTTCGACCATAACGTGTTACTTTTTTAAGAAATTAGAGTACATATTTATTGGAATCCACTTAGTTTTTACTAGTTAACTATTATAGTTATGTAGATAATTTAGATAGTTATCTACTTGGCTAGATAAATCTACCAGGGACATCTTCAACATTACGGAAAATTTGACTGATGACTGGTTGGCGCGCAACGTGTCGCGGGTTCGATTCCCGCACCGAGCAACTCTTTGTGTAATTCACAAATTGTTGTTCCGGGTCTGGGTGTCATTATGTGTATGTCAACTTGTATGTTTGTGAACACCTCCAAAATCCGAGTGTGGGGCAACGTTTCTAAAAAATATAAAAATTTAGACCAATGAAAAAGCCCTGCAGAAAATCATCTACAACTACGCTTAACTTCTAGCTAGTGTCTACTCAGTACAGCATCGCACTTCATACCGCACATTTAAAACATCTTTCTTGCTATCCTCGTAAAGGAAGTGGCATTTAACCGATGATCAATCACCCAGTTTGTATGTTTGATATTTGATGTTACACGCACTGGTACGCGAGCTCGCCAGGCAATGCCCAACGAGCCGTGGCACGAATGCCTGTCCAATGCATTACACACGTTCCGTTTTATTATAAACTGTTCAACATGTTTTTATTTGCTGTTTCGAATTGTATTACGGCCACTGAATAGACATTGGCAGCTAAATTATTCCAGTTGATGGATCGAACTAATGAGCATAGTAGGTTGCGTTTGAATAGACTGGCTGAATAATTGCGAGTTAAATAAATAGGTACCTACGTACCTGTGATAATAATACAAATGTCAAATAATACAAATTACTGCACGGTTGGCGCGGGGGTTGGGCAACTGGTTCGATTCTCGCGTGGATCAACTCTTTGTGTTATTCACAGATTGTTGTTCCGGGTCTGGGTGTCATGTGTATTTGAACTTGTATTTTGTTTGTAAAAGCACCCACGACACTGGAGACAATACTAGAGTAGGACAACGTTTTAAAAAAATATATATTTAGGCACTAAAATATAAAAAGAATAGTCTATTTACAAAGAAACTAAGGGTGGCTTGTTAGTTTCTTTGTTTACAGGAAGTTTACAGGAAGGTTCTTAGTTTACAGGAAGAATAACTAAAATATTCTTTGAAAACGTCATGACCTTGAAATATAAAGTACAATATTATAGTGCTGTAATTAATTTAACAAGACTGCCTCGTTGGCCGAGTGGTCGCAAGTGCGATTGCTGGGCCAGAGGTTTTGGGTTCGATTCCCGGGTCGGGCAAAGTACCACTGGGTTTTTAAAAACATCTAGTAGTAGTAGCACGGTGTCTGGATTTGTACCCAGTATATGGCAATAGGCTCACCCCCGAGTTACATGAAACTCATAACATAAATAGTGAAAAGTGGGTGCTACATTGTACAGTGCATTAAACGCTAAGTGCTTCAGGGATAAAAGGCGTGATATTATGTTATGTAACTAATTTATTAATCGAAAAGTAGAAGAATGTCATACACTAAAGTCATAAGTATAGATTTCATACTTGTAACAGTAGTAGGCAGTATATCGACGTAGATAGGTAACCGAAGGATCCTTCAGTACGCTTACAAAGTACTTAACGCAGGCTATTTTCATAGAAATAGGATACTTTATCTGTAGGCGACGGCGTGTGATTGATGAACGATGACATCAGCTCAGCATTATATGCTAATTTTTCACTCTGTGTCTCAAACATAATGTAAACAACGTTACGAATGGATTTCATTGAGTTGCTTCGTAAATGTAATGTTGTTAAATGTTACAACATTTAACAACATTACATTATACTACTACATTACTACAGGCCTTGTTGCTTGCCAGGCTCGTTGGCCGAGTGGTCGCAAGTGCGACTGCCGGGCAACTCTCTCGGGTTTGATTCTCGGGTCGGGCAAAGTATTACTGGGTTTTTAAAAAAGAATCTCATTAGTAGCACTAAGTCTGGAATTGTGCCCGGTATATAGCAATAGGCTCACCCCTATTACATGGGACGCATAACATAAATAGTGAAAAGTGGGTGTTACATTGTATGTACAGTGGCATAATGTGCACCTCTGCCTACCCCTTCGAGATAAAACCCGTGATGTTATGTTATATTTTTTTATGAGTGGCACGGAATCTGATATGAGATGAGGAGTTATGCGATCTTTGTCGAGGTGTCAAACTCTGGACTAGGTGATCGGGCTCTAGGTCTTCTACCATGCCCTTTTCTTGCTTCTGATAGTAGGTTTATCCAGATAGTATGGTTGTCTTCAGACTGTCTAAACTTACTATCAAGTAAATAATACTCGTTATTATTAAACGTACGTAAGTACGTACCAGTATGGTAGCTATGTTGTATAAATATTTTGAATTTCCAATACCTAATCCAAGCGAATTGGTTTGCTCATGCCAAGCGTATTGCAATTATAGATATCAAAGTACCCGATCAATATCACGGGTGATATTGCTTAAGCTTGAGATCATTCGTACCTATTTGGAGAAGACAATTCGATAACAGTGGTTTATAAATTGAAATTCATATTATTATAATTATGTAAATGGTAAAAAGCATAATAATGAATTCATGATAATGATATTAATATCATTACTCTGTCCTTATGTCCCTTTGTATGCTTAAATCTTTGAAACTACGCAACGAATTTTGATATGTTTTTTTTAATAGATAGAGTGATTCAAGAAAATGGTGTATATGTATAATACATGCAATCATGCATATTACAAGTGCGAAGCCGGGGCGGGTCGCTAGTAATACTATATTCTTTAAGATTCACATTAAAATTTTCCCTTAATATCTTGTGCATACCACAACAATTTCTGTACCCTACCTACAAAAATCGGTCCTGTGACACTTTTCGCAGCAGTTGGTTGTCTACCCACTAAACCACCAAGCATTCTGATTTAAATAATATTGCCCTAGAGCTAATTCTATTTCTAAATTCGTAACACTGTGCAAACATAATATATGTGTATTTTTAGATAAGGTATTACTTTACATGGCCTGAAGCATTAGAAACTGCGTAGGTACCGCCAAGCAGAAATACAGTCATGGATAACCGTCCAAAGGTCGCACAGGGCACACGGGCGGTTGCCA